ATATTAGCTCAGGAGCTAGTTTTATATTAGTTAGCTTTAGAGCTTACCCTGTAGTTTGCCATATTAGCTCAGGAGCTAGTTTTATATTAGTTAGCTTTAGAGCTAACCCTGTACTTTGCCATATTAGCTCAGGAGCTAGTTTTATATTAGTTAGCTTTAGAGTTAACCCTGTACTTTGCCATATTAGCTCAGGAGTTAGTTTTATATTAGTTAGCTTTAGAGCTAACCCTGTACTTTGCCATATTAGCTCAGGAGCTAGTTTTGTGTTAGTTACCTTTAGAGCTAACACTGTACTTTGCCATATTAGCTCAGGAGCTAGTTTTATATTAGTTAGCTTTAGAGCTTCTGTCCTCCATCCACACCTTCAGCTGATGAAATGACTCCTACAGTAGAGTTAATCTAACCGTTATCATTTCAGTGTGTTTCCATCCAAAGGAGACTTGTAGTAAATGTTCTCTGGATGCTGTAAGGTCAGAGGTCAGAGGTCAGGTAGACGTTAGGGGGCAGGTTGTTGAATGGATCATCTCTGACTGTGCTCCTGTTTGTTCTAGCTTTAAGTTTGGCAGGAAGATCAACTACGTGAGCTACCTGAGTGAGCTGGAGGCGGTGGTGAAGTGTGACCAGCTGCTGATTCCTGCCCGAGTCACAGAGTAAGACCTGCACATCATCACAGCTACAGCTGCAGGTGTGTGTGGTCCTTAGCAGCTCACCTGTCACCTTACCTTCATCAGGTACGACAACAAGCTGAGAGCAGCTCTGAAGCCCAGCACCCAGCCCCCTGCCTCTCCTCCTCACAGCCCCCCACTTCCACACCAGGTGTTCGGCGTTCCTCTCTCAGTGTGAGTAGCAGAACTGTAGCTTTAGCTGCTAACACACTGGTTAGCTCGTCTGACTGGTCTCTCTGGGCCCAGGCTCAGACAGAGGGATCCAGATGGTGATCCTGTTCCTGTGGTGATGAGGGACACCATCAGCTTCCTGACAGAACAAGGTACCACCAGGTCTACTGGGTTTTACACGAGTACTGTGTACTTCTCACTACTACTAGTACTACGTCTACTGTTTAGGCCTTTCTGTGGAATTCTGTCTTTTAGCTGTTTTTAGTTAGCTTGTTGTTACTTTTATATTTAGCTAGGCTTTGTGTTGCTTTTAGCTAGTGTTTTTTTCTTTAGCCTTTTCAACTTTTAGTTTTTGCTAACATTTTTGTTGCTTTTAGGTATCATGTTGCTACATTTAGCCACTAACTTAAAGATGTTTTAGCTTGCAGCTAGCATGTTGCTTTCAGATCTAACCATCCTTTGGGARCATGCACACTTCAGTTAGCGTTTTGTTATTTGTAGCTCTGTTTGGTCCTGTTTGAATAAGTCCAGCTGATCCAGGTCCAGCTGAGTGACAGCCAGAGCCTTGATCTGGACTTTGTGTGTCTCAGGTCTGGAGATCGAGGGGATCTTCAGACGGTCTGCCAACGTGACTCTGGTGAAGGAGGTCCAGCTCAGGTACAACTCAGGTAGGTCTGACCCCCACCACAGGTCTGTAACACTGTAGGGTGTGTTCCTGAGGTCTCTGGTCCGTTAGAGTTCTGGTCTTAGATCTGTGACGATCAGAGCCTGTTTACCTGTTGTCCAGGTGAGGCAGTGAGTTTCAGAGAGATGGAGGACGTCCACCTGGCTGCTGTGATCCTGAAGACCTTCCTGAGGGAACTACCTGAACCACTGCTGACGTACCAGTTGTACAACGACATCGTCAACTTTACCTGTAAGTCCAGGAGAACTTCCTGTTTGTTTTTGGTTCTACTTCCTGTTTGTGTTTGGTTCTACTTCCTGTTTGTGTTTGGTTCTACTTCCTGTTTGTCTTTGGTTCTACTTCCTGTTTGTCGTTGGTTCTACTTCCTGTTTGTCGTTGGTTCTACTTCCTGTTTGTCGTTGGTTCTACTTCCTGTTTGTGTTTGGTTCTACTTCCTGTTTTTCTTTGGCTCTACTTCTGTTTGTGTTTGGTTTTTATTTTTGTTTGTTTGGTTCTACTTCCTTTTGTGTTTGGTTCTACTTCTTGTTTGTCTTTGGCTGTGTCCAAAACGACAGACCGGGTCCTCCGAAGGACCCAGCCTACCCGGTTGAGGTGGGCCGGGTCCTTGGTAGACTGGGAAGACCGGAAAAAAAGAGGCTGTGAATTTGGACAGTCTAGCCTCTTCTCCACCCCGGCGTACGTCTTGTCACCTAGCAACTGTGACGACGCTAAACAGAAGCAAAAATAGATCAAAATTAGAAAAATATCAATATATTAGTGTTATTAATGTCACAAAATAATAAAATTAACTTAAAAGTATCATTTGAAGAACTAATTGACCCGCTGTAGGTGCATGTTGATTTTGTTTTTTTATGATAAAAATAATATTTAAAAACATGTCCATACAAATGATAAAAGTATTAGAATTACAACCACTAAAAAATTTTAATTTTTATATCACCATATTTTTATTTAAAATGTATTCTTTTCTCTCGCTTCGTCCACCATTACTAGCATTAAAAAATCTCCGGTCGGGCCGCAATGCATTATGGGATATGGTGGGCCGGGAAGGATCCATCAGACCTGTCCTTCGATTCGGGCCAAAGGAAGGACGTATTTGTCGGCCGCATCGGAGGAGTCTTCGGTTTGGGATGTCCTTCGTTGCGGCGCTGTGACGTATGCGGCCGACAAATTCGACCTTCGGAGGACCTGACCTGACGTTTTGGACACAGCCTTTGGTTCTATTTTCTTGTTTGTGTTTGGTTTTATTTCCTGTTTGTGTTTGTTTCTACTTCCTGTTTGTGTTTGGTTTTATTTGGTTTTACTTCCTGTTTGTGTTTGGTTCTACTTCCTGTTTGTGTTTGGTTCTACTTCCTGTTTGTGTTTGGTTCTACTTCTGTTTGTGTTTGGTTCTACTTCCTGTTTGTGTTTGATTTTATTTGGTTCTACTTCCTGTTTGTGTTTGTTTCTACTTCCTGTTGTGTTTGGTTCCACTTCCTGTTTGTGTTTGGTTCCACTTCCTGTTTGTCTTTCAGCTGTGTCTGGTGAGAACCAGGTAGAAGTGATGAAGACACTGCTGGAGTCACTTCCTGAGGAGAACTATGCGTCTCTGCGTTACCTTATCACCTTCCTGGCTCAGGTATGACTGAGGGGCGTGGCTTCTCTCTGATTGGCCTGTAAGTGTGGTTCTGAACCAATGGTCTTGGGTTTTTTCAGGTCTCGGCCAACAGTGAGCTGAACAAGATGACCAACAGCAACCTGGCTGTGGTGTTTGGACCGAATCTGCTGTGGGGGCGGGACAACGCCATGTCACTCAGCGCCATCGGGCCAATCAACAACTTCACCAGAACCCTGCTGGACCAGCAGCACCTGGTCTTCACCTAGTCGCCTCTGCTCCTCTTCTTCATCACATTCTGAACAATTAGTGGTTCTCCTGTACCAAACATGAAAAAACCCAAACTCTGGGCCAGTTGCATGCTCTTTAGCTGGTTCTGACCCGTTAGCGCCGTCCTGTCACGTCTTGTGTATCTAAACAACTGAAGATGATTTTTATACGTTGTTTTACTTWAAAAAAAAACCTGAAATAATAATCTAATTGTGTTGTTTGGGGTCATGATCTCAGCTGTTTAAAACTCAGTTTTTTCCACCGTGTCCCAGACTGCAGCACTTTAGCTTCAGCTTCACAGTTTATACCTTTTATTCTGTTTCTGTTTCCAGATATTAAGTCTGCTTTGTGCTTATTTTTGTTTGTTTCTTCGGTGCCAAATAAGTTCTTGACACACGTGACCAAACGTACTCTGAGTTTTTATTAGTTAGGAGTTTTTGGTGTCTGTGTCAGACTCAGGTGGGGGCTCAGACATGGTGGGCTCGGTACTGAAACTATGTGGACAATCTGTAAAATGCTGTAACTAAAGTGGCAGCTCTGTGTTTCTGTGTAAAGAGAACTGGGCCTGGCTGAGTGAAATATGTGCTGGACTTCACAAATAACATTTAAAGGTTTTCTGAGCAGGCGTTCCCCCCAGCACCTGAATCGGTCCTCTACAGTTCATCACAGCTTTGTTGTTAAAACCAGAAAACAGGTACGAGTAAAGCCTACTTGTGACCCGTCTGGGTTCTGTGACCTCCAGTCCTGGCCATGACAGAACCCCTCCCCCACCAATCTTAACTGGATCTTATCAGAAAGTTGGTTTTAGTCTCTCCTCCTACGTTCAGCCACACATCTTCTCTGTAAACCCTCTGGTTTATTGTGTAGCACAAACAGCATTTAAAACATTTAATGTGAGTTTTATATATTATTGTTTGTTTTTTGTTGCCTTATATTTTGTTCAGTGCCATGCCACTAATGGAGTTTGTCCAAGTCGTACRGTTTAATTCATTAAAAATCAGGTTCTTGGAGTTCTAGGCGTTCACCCTGGCACTGTGTTCGGTCCTCTGATTTTACACAGCTCCCTGCTTCAGTGACACTACATTATTTCAACACTAGTGCTGTGTCATCATAAGCACTTCTTTTTCCATCATCTTATCAATTATTTATCATATTATTATGACCTGACTCGTATCTTTTGTTCTTGTTTTTTTGTTTATTTTTTCAGTCTTTGCTTTGATCTGAATTGCTTCCAAAGTTCATTTAAAGAAACCTTGTCGATATTTTTAGCTTGTCCCAAATTAAAATGACACAAAATAAAAAAAACTCAGATTATTTTTGACTTAGATCAACAGGTTTGACGTATTTGTCACCAAATATTAGCCATAACTAAATATTAGTCGTATTTTTTTTCTGTTTTTATTAAAATAATGTGGGATTAAATAAATATTTCCAGATGTTTCTGGTTGTGTTTAGATGTTCTGTTTGTCTCCTGGTTATAAATATGTAAAAATATAAAAACGGGGGTCCCTGTAAGTAGAGGTTTGGTGTAATTACTTGGTGAACTTCTTGTAACTCTGGTGCTGTATTTTTTTATTCTGGTTATCGTATTTGAGCTGGTCTGTAACATTAAACAGAAAAAATAACGATATTGTAAAAAACGTTGAAAAGATCAAACATTTTGCCAACAGTTTTTGGTGTTCGTGCCTTAAGTGTTCCCCAAGTGATCCTGTGTTGAACCATCAAAGTGCCAGTTGGACAGAAACCACAGGGCTGATCATAAATCAGGAGCGAGGCCACGCACTTCAGTTTGTGGCAGAACAGTTAGTTTTGTTTAAATCATGTCTCGTTCTTGTGGACCCAGCGTCTCCATCCTGTCCTGAAATCAAACTCCTCTCTTAGCTGAGCTTGTCTTGAATTAAAAAGCATTGAAAACTTATCAGACCTTTGTACTGTAACCGTTGTCATGGTGCRCGTAAACAATGGGCCCAACAGGAGRCATGTTCTGTTCTTCATTCTGTGTTTCAGATGTGGTCTTGTAATTATGTTGGTGATATGCTGTAAACCCAATAAATAAACGTTAAAACTTCAGCTTTGTTTTTTATTATTAAATAAAAGGTCTAAAGGCTGACGTTGATGAGCGGCCATCTTTGATTGGTTTACATGAAACATGAACTGATTCTGTTTCACTGAAGTCCCTCCACAGGTTTAGGAGATATTTTACTAACAGACAAACAGGTGGACCTCCTGTCCACAGGTCCAGGAGTGTCTCTGTCAGTTTCAGTTTGTTTCAAGATCTTTGTTCTCCAGATAGAAACAAAATAATGTTTCCTTTGACCTGAACATGAAAACAGTGAGAGCAGCGCCCTCTGGGKGACAGGTCTGTCTCTGCAGAAACACTTCAACAATGAGAGGATCCAGACCTCAGTCCACCTTTAAAACTCTGTGTTTCATTTGTTCTTTCAGTTATAAATAAATAAAATAAACTGAGGACAAAACTTTCATGTGTTGATTTGAGTTTGAAGTGTTGATTGACAGCCTGTCTGCGAGTAAGGAGGCTGTGTGGGCGGGACTTCACACTGTCCTCAGTGAGCAGACTCTGGTTCCAAAAACACAACATGGCTCCAGCTTCAGTTATTAACAACAGGTTGTATTTATGTTTGGTACCAGAACCAGCAGCTGGACCTCACAGGTCCACAGAAGTCCAGGACTTGATGGATTCTGGCTGTTTTAGCAGCTAAAGGTGGGTTAACTCCACTCAGCATCAGATCCTCTAAACTACCTTACCCATAAGACACTGCTTTGAAACCAGGAAGTCATGACCTTCTCTGCTTCTGATTGGATCAAATAAATGGAAGTTCCACCTCCAGAAGGTTAGTTTAATCTTGACCTACAAGCTGATGTTTCAGATGTTTTTAACTATTTTTAGATTTTACTGTAAAAATATTATTTTTCTTTTTCCTGCTTTAAAATTCATTCATTATTTATTGTAGTTATGAAAATAAACTATTTTATTTGAAGATGTCCCCCTCAGTGTCTGTATTGTGATTGTGTTCACAGAGCTTCATACTCTGACTGATGGTTTTCACTACAGGCTGTACAGTGTATAAATACTTGTATAAATACATGTATAAATGTAGCATAAATATATCTATATATACATGTATAAATACTTGTATAAATGTAGCATAAATATATCTATATACATGTATAAATACTTGTATAAATGTAGCATAAATATATCTATATATACATGTATAAATACTTGTATAAATGTAGCATAAATACATCTATATATACATGTATAAATACTTGTATAAATGTAGCATAAATATATCTATATATACATGTATAAATACTTGTATAAATGTAGCATAAATATATCTATATATACATGTATAAATACTTGTATAAATGTAGCATAAATATATCTATATATACATGTATAAATACTTGTATAAATGTAGCATAAATATATCTATATATACATGTATAAATACTTGTATAAATGTAGCATAAATGCATGTCTATATATACATGTATAAATACTTGTATAAATGTAGCATAA